GTTTTTTCAAGAAGTGTGTATAACATAATTTCAACCACACTATTGTTCAAATTAGAAAAAACATTTACCCCATAACAAATAACTTATGTAATTAGTGTTTCCTATCATTACTATGCTTGTTGTGTCTTAGGTGACTGCTCTGTATTGAGTAAAACATCTCATTGGTAGTGAATATGGTTGACACATACTGGTTGAAATATTACTTATGCTCTTAAGGGTTTAAAAATATAATAATTGTAAATATATTTAATCAAATGTTTTAAAATCTACAAATTCCATCATCATTGATATGTAAAAATTACATACATTGGAAGCAATACACAGATGTGCACAAGACAATTTTTTCATGCAAATAATTGTCAAAAATATAATAAGTATAAAATAAAAAAGTACTGAAATGTAATGTATAAATTCATATTAAAAATACTTTAAGTATACATTGTTATATTAAGTACCTTTTTTCTTCCTTTTTTAATGTTTTTAGATTCTAAATTCCTTTCCAATTTGCATGAAACAATTCTGCTTGAAAACATGTTTCTGTATCATCACCAGTCTATGTATTTTTTACACATTACTGGTGATAGGATTTTTAGATTTTAAAACATTTGACTAAACAATTTTTACAGTATTGTGGACCCAAAATACTTGAAAGGAAAAAAATAGAGACCATGAAGTTAAAAGTTTTAGATAACAGTAATTGTTTTTTTTTTGGGGGAATACATTATAATAAAAGTCAGGTTCTGATACACTGGATTATGCAAATACAAAGTTAAAAGCAACTGGATTTTGTCAATCATCTTTTAAAAGAAAGTTTGTCATTATATGTAATGCTTTCATAGACAGTCAAATTACAAGATAAGGAAATACTTAGAGCACTGTCAGATGTTTTTTGTTGCTTCCCACGAACTTGAAGTTTTGTATTGAAACCATATCAAGGAGAAAAATACTTTTGATGGATTGGTATGAAGAATTTCCATTTACTTTTGTTACTTATAACTTTCATTTTTTATTACTCAAAGGCTACAAGCAATTCGCCCCCAACAGCCAAGAATAGTACCAATGGGCATTTCCATCTCCTCCCTTCAAGAAGGAAAGGCTGTTATAACAAATAGTGCGCGACGCTTAGAAGTTTTACGAAACTGTATAAATTGCATTTTTGAAAACAAGATTTCAGATGCTAGAAAGGTAAGTTTGGGTGTCTTGTAACAATAAGTATTATTGAAGCATGTCCCATTTTCCTGGAATTATTACTTTCCCAAAAACTAAGTATTGAAAGGGAAAACCTTAACTTTTGTAATTATTCCTTTCATAAAAATTAGCTATAGAAAAGTAAAATCTTAATGTTTATAAGTAATGATGTCTTCTTTTGTCATTAGAAAATTAACATAATGCTGTTTTTCCATGAAAAATAGACGTAGCTCATACTAACAAACTTTACCAACAACAACAAAATATATGCCACTATAAATAGAATCATTGCACTTTGGAAAATTCATATATATATATTTATTTAAATGTGAAGCATAATACTGTGTATTTTTGAAAGTTTGACACAGCATATTGGTTAAAGTATACCTTGCTAGTGATCAACCTGATCCAGTCAGTCTCTTTGTACAAATAAAGAAAATTATCAACCATATTTACTTTTTAATTTGTTGGCAACTTTGTATCACGTAAATTTAACTAAAATTAATAGAATTCTTAATAATAATAAATGACTTCACTATCTTTTTTTTTTATATATATATCACATAAAATAATTTTGTTTTAACTGACGTAATTAATAATTAATTTTTGTCGTTGTTCTTATTCATGCTTTTTTCAGATTTTTTTGTTAATCTTTTGTAATTTTCAGACATTCCCTGCTGTATTAAGAGCTCTTAAGAACAAAACTGCTCGTTTAGCTTTGACTCAGGAGCTAGCACAGCACGTAACTGGGAACAAGGCCATGTTAGAACATCAACAGTTTGATCTAGTTGTACGTCTTATGAACTGTGCTTTGCAGGTAAAATGCCCCTTATCCATTGTTCTTACTTAAAGCAAATTTATCTTGAATACTAGAAACAGTAATTGGTTATTTTTCTGAAACTGGATGTTTGTTTGGTGCATTTTTAAAAAAGTTGTTTTAAAGTTATATTTTGGGTGCCATTTTTGTCAACAAATAAGGCATATAATTTTTTATTGCAAAACAATTAGGTATGAAAATTTACATTAAAGCTAAAGTATAAGGTTACTGAGTAAATGTAAATCGAAAGTTCAAATCCATTTCATTTGCATGTTTTTCCTTTACTTAGCACTACATTGACTATTGTATTTTGTTGACTAGCATTGTAAGTCATACTGCTCGCATAAGTAACTCAGAATTGCCTGAAAATAAATCTTATTTTGACCTGTAGCCAACTGAAAAGATTACGTTCTTGATTTTTATACTTATTACATAGTTTTGTATAAAATGAAATAAAAGTTTTAATAAGGCATAATATGCACATTATCTGATTAAGCCTCCAGTTTATGTATTTTGCCAACATTTTAAAGAATTCAGAAATAACTGTTAGATAAGTGTGAGTACATTCAGATGAGCGAGTTAGAACATATCATCGGTGTTTCATCAAAACTATAGTTGCTGTTGCCACAACCACGTATGTATTCAGGTTCAGTGTTATGTATAACTTTGTAAACTTACTTCAGCTTTACTGTAACTTCTTTGAATAATACTATATTTCTTCAATAGGATGATTCCAGTATGGATGAACATGGAGTTGCAGCATCAATTCTTCCACTTTCCATGGCATTTTGTAGGGTATGTTTGATGCTTCTTTTTTTGGTTTTGTTAATTTTTGAAGTAAGAGATGAATAGAAAAGCTATTTTTGATGGTAGAGTGAACTTATATGTTATTTGAATTTCTTTTATTTTGGCTGTAAGATGAAAACCTGTGGTTAGGTTCGCAGGTTTGATTCCCTGTCACACTGAACATGCTCGAGCTTTCAGCAATGGGAGCATTATAATGTGATGTTCAAAGATTAGTCCAAAAGTTGGTGATGGGTAGTTTTCCCTCTAGTCTGTCACTGCTAAATTAGAAATCAAACTCTTAAGATGAAACTATTCAAATGCTAATTATTTGTGAGTATATAAACTGTGTTTACTTTTTGACATAGTTTATATTTAATATTTAGAAAATTTATTATCAAATTATATCTCAAGTTTTTGTTGTGATCAGTTGTATAAAATGTTTAAATTTTTATTCTTCTAGTCATGTTAATTTTTATGAATTTAAAAATCTTTTGTATAGAAATTGTGCACTGGTGTGATTCAGTTTGCATACACATGCATTCAAGAACATCCAGTCTGGGTCAACCAGCAATTTTGGGAGGCAGCTTTTTATCAAGATGTTCAGCGAGATATTAAGGCTTTGTATCTCCCACAGAAAAATAATTCTCATTCTGATAAAGAGCTTCCACTTTCTCCTGTTAGTCCTCATGAAGTAAGTTTCATTTGTGTTTTCATTAACACTTGGGCCCATTTTTTTAATATATTGAAATGATTGCATAATTCTTTTTTTTTCTGTGCAGTTATGTTGAATTTTGTTTTTGTGAAGTTTTTATCAAAAACCAAAAAGAGAGTTATAAGAAACACCCTTTTTTAGATGTTTAATATTCACATTTCTTATTTATATTAAAAAAAATGATTTTTACTTCATCAATTATTTACTGCTTTAAATAAGGATTTAATTTTTGTAGTTACTGGATGAGTCTTGGAGCTATTACTGAAACAAAGCAATTTAAATCCTGTAATGAAAAAACAATACACAATTTAGCAAAAAATTCAAAACTATTAAAATGGAGTTAAAATGTCTGTCAAAATACATTCTTTCATTAATTCAACAAAGAGGTGGCCTGGTGATTAGTATGCTTCACTCACAATCTGAGGGTCACAGGTTTGAATCCCCATCCCACCAAACATGCTCTCTCATTCAGCCATGGGAGCATTATAATGTGATGGTCAATCCCACTATTCATTGGTAAAAGAGTAGCCCAAGGGTTGGAGGTGGGTAGTGATGACTAGCTGCCTTCCTTCTAGTCTTTCACTGCTAAATTAGGGCAGACTAGTGCAACTGGCCCTTATGTAGCTTTGCATAAAATTCAAAACAAAACAAAAAATCCAACAGAGAGCATTTAATCAAGCAAACAGTCTACTTAGGAATTATTTTGAGAGTGACTGAAAGAATAGTCATAAAATGTTTTTATCTTCAATGATTATCTTGAAAATGCATATGAAAAGTGAAGGAATCTGTTATAAACAGAAACAAATTGCTGGTGGGGTTTGAAATAACTTTAATTTAAAACTAAACTTTTGATGAGAGGCCCTTCTTGGCTAGTGAGTCTCATTTGACCAAAAAGAAAAACAAAAGTATTTTCAAGGTCTCTCCTTAATTAACTTGAAAAAATGACAGATTGAGCTGATTATAAAAAAAAAAGTCAAAAAATCAAACATCTAAAAAAATTATATCACTAAATATGGTGAAGTTAAATAGCAGAAAATTCAGAATTTCTTTGTTTATGAAACATATTATTCACCTCAGATTTGCAGGTAAATCCTCAGAATGCACATAAGTGCAAACTAGTTTGTATATAAATGCTAGAAGTTTGAAATTGACCATCAGTAGTTTAAAGTTTGGATTCTACAAACATTTGTTGTTACTTAGAACTTATCCATTGATAAATATTTGCTTGTTAGAAGTTTCTTTAATGCTGTGTTAATTATTTTTTTAAGTATTTCCAAGAACTGAACTTAAAAAAATAAAATTCGGTGTTTCCTGTCATGGCAAATGTCATGCGAATGACCATAGTGGATTATACAAATTCACAAGAGTTGTTATTGTGTCTTAAGAAATGTCATTTTTCTATTTTAGTGGTTTTCAAGAACAGTATGATATTTTCAATTTATTATTAATTTAATTATGATTTTACAAGATTTTGACCTTACAAAGAAATGTATTATAAGCAGATTTACATGCAAATATGGCACTGGAAAAATCAGCTTGTAAATTTTTAATTCTTAGTTTTTGTAGATTTTATGACAACATGTTACCTTAATGTGGAAACTCTCTCAATTATAGAATAAGGATTTAAATTCCATATGGAATCGGGATGTAGGACGATCTGTTTATGACATAACCAACAGAAAATCAACTACATTTAGACCTCCGGAACCTAGTGCTTTGGAAATAGCTGCAGAACAGGTTTGTGAATATCAAAATAAGAAATAGACTAAAATGAAAAAAAAAATTTTCAGAAATTTAAATCAGCATTTATAATAATAATATTTGAAATATGCTAATATTTATTTTTTCTTGGTTTTTCAAACTGTTTTAATTGGATTAATATAAGCTAGAAGAGCCTCATTGCTTCTAATATTGGTATGTTATCTAGAAGATTTATAGGTAAGTATTATAATGAGCTGGCTTTAAGCAACATACTGTTTTTTTTTCTGTTAACTTAGGTTTTTGTTTAGTATTAACTTGTTTGTTAGATGTTTTGTGCTATAATGAGCTGAATTTTCTGGAATGTGTTTTGGATGGAATTTTTGTTTAAAGCTAGTCAGTTTGCCAAACATTTGAAATATACAGGATACAACAACCTATGAAAATATTCAATCAATGTTGGGAAACTCAAAGCCCCTTACTTTCTGGGAGATATTCTTTGATTACCAAACACTATTTAAGTGTTTGCAAACTTTCTTTTGCACTGCAGACATCTCAGTTCTACAGTAAAACAGATAACAGAAAATATATGTCAAATGTGACACCACTTTGTCATACAAAGAATATATATGCATGCTTTATTATTTCTCAGCTTTAAGTTTCTGAAACTTGTTTTTTTTTGCAAATGAAGGTGTTTGTTTAGGACTGAATTTAGGACTAATATTGATTGCTAACTCTGTCTTCTTTGTGCAATTTAGTTGTTACCATAGACAATAATCAATTCAGAAAATGAAACCAGGATTTAGGAATTGTAATCAAATTATTCTATTTTTTTTGCAACATCCATTGCTAGTTTAGATTATTGTGTCATTTTTTTTTTATATGCTAATATATTCTTTTTTTGACATGAATGAATGCCATTCTTAAGTTGTGAAATAGTGTGTATGACTGGTATAAACGTGGTTCAGTTAAAAAAATATGGCAAAACAATGAATCAAAGTTGTTTAAGTTTTTGATGGCAAATTATTACATCAGTATTAACATATTTATATTGATTTAAGCATTTACTTCTTTATATGTAGACAGAAATGTGTATCATAGATAAGTATACTTTATATATTCTGCTTTGTTTGTGTAAGCTAAAAAAAGTTTTAATAGCAGCATTCATTTTGATAAAGATGAGACTTTGGCCAAACTTAACGAAAGAGCAACAACAAGAGATGGTATCGAATGAAGAGTCAACAGTGTATAGTCAAGCCATTCATTATGCCAACCGAATGGTGTCTCTACGTGTACCATTAGACATCAACAAGAACGCCAAGTCTCCAGTAGATGTTGAGCGAGAAAGCAATAGTAACAGTAACATAACAAATAGGTATCGTTAGAATTAATTTAATGCTGCTTGGATGTAGAATGTAAGCTTTTAATAGATATATTCACAGTATCAGTATCATTTATTATTAGCAGATTTCTTTATTAATATAACTTAAAACACATAAAGCAGAGGTACTAGAAAGTGCATTTATACTTTCATTTTTCTGTACAAAGGTATAAGTGTGGTAGTAACATTGGTGCTAGTTGTTCAGCAGAATTTAAAACATTGTATCATACTTGTAAAGTTTGGTATATTCTAAATGTATAAAGAATGTCTGATATTTTTAATTAGTGAATATACATGCACCTGCAGAACAGAAAAGTGAATGAGTTATTATTATTATTACTTAAATTGATATTTTATACATTTTATGAACAAAGACTATAGAGTAATTCATATATATATTATTTATTCAATACTTTTTAATAAAATACTTTATAATATGTATAAATGTATCCTTAAATGACATGTATTTGTATAATTGTTAAATTTAAAGTATTCAATGGCTACACTGTCTTTAAACTAAATTAGTAAGATTATATGCTTAGTTATTATAAATATGAACACAGTTTCAACTTGAAACTCTACCTAAGCTTTGGGGGGCACAACTGGTTATAGGGAATTACTTCATTGAAATTTCAACCATCTATTTACATTGGTCTTTGTTAGGTTAGTGAAAGCATGGTAATCAAGTTGTCTCCCACACCCAAAGGAATATGAAACCTATTTGGATAACATTCATTATCCTTGACCTATTATAAAACTGGGCTGATGAGACCAGATGTCGCTTCAAACTTCAGTTCTCAGTTGATCAAGCTGTGTTATTTGTTATTCTATATAATCAAACATGTCTTGTATTTCAATATTATATCTAAGCCAGGAATTACTGAGTAGTTATTGTGCCAGGCTATGAATCTGGTGTATGGTTTGCATTCTAATGCTGCACTTTAGGGTCATGGATGTGTTATAAGACTGACAGTCAAATTTCATTATTCGATTAGAGTAATGCAATAGCTGATGGTGGGTGTTGTTTTTGTTTTTAGTGAAGTTCAAAAAGTAAATTTTTCTTCACTCAAAATTGTAAAAAACAGTGTTTATATGATTTGCTTGATAAGAGCTGTTTATGAATAAAAGAAACAGTTGTTTTTAACCTTGCTTATATAATTGTTGGTCTATTAGTCAACACAGTTATGAATACATACCTAATATTTTTGTCTACTAGGAGTCAACTTTTCCTGGTCTATCTTATCAAAGTTTATGTAATTAACTTGTTTCTTTCTTAGTTTATCTGAAAGTGATAGTATGGATGCAGAAAGTGGGTTTGAAGAAGATACATCTGAAGTAGGAGCAAATGTTGTTAAGTTTGTTTCGAGGTTTGTGGACAAAGTTTGCACAGAGAGTGGTGTTACGGAAGAACATATCAAGTCACTGCACCAGATGATACCAGGTACAAATATGTTTTAACTGATACAAAACTACTTTCACCACAAAATATATTTAATCACCTAATACTAAGGCACTTTGACATATTTATCGCGTTTGAGACAGATATTTTATAAATAGGCAGAATAAAAAGCATATCACACTCTTAAAAACATGTAGAGAAACTAAAATCATAAATGATATTCAATGTTAAACTGGTACACAGTTAAAAACATTTCATTTAGGCCTATCTATGGCCTTCAAAATGTTGATGACTTTACACGTTTTGACGTTACAATGTCATCCTAAACAAAAGTAAAGTTTCTAATGTACATACTTAATTTTATTTGCTGCACAGGTGTAGTAGCCATGCAGATAGAAACACTTGAGGCTGTCCACAGAGAAAGTAAACGACTGCCTCCTGTCTTGAAGGTAAAAAAAAAAACAATCTTCATTCTAGTGATGTAAGTTTCAAAATGGCACTTCAAACTAATTGAAAAGGAACTTCCCCTTTCCTTTAACGAATGTAACCGATTTTGGATATTATTTTCGCAAAGTTCTAAGTGTTTTTCAGTATTTGAGTCATGAAATTGTTAGTTTCATGCATGATTCAAAATTCTATAAAAAAGAAAAATATTTTCTTTCAAAAAGTATTAATGGTTATACAGTTATATGCAATTTTTTTTGTTTATTTTGCAAAGTATTCTTTATGGTTAAATAAAAATTCTAAGCACATTTCATAGAAAATTATGTAAATAGTGAAAAACGTTAGGCATCTTTTTTATATTTTTCTATTTAGCCTAAAATTCTTGCACCAAGTCTTCTACAAGGAGAGGAGCTTGTTATGGAAGGACTACGTGTTTATCTCATTCCTGATGGACGAGAAGATGGCACTGGTGGTGTTCTGGGTGGACCATGTTTGCTTCCCACAGAAGGAGCAGTATTTCTAACAAATTACCGTATAATATTTAAAGGAACACCGTGTGATCCTTTTGGTAAGCATGAAGTTGATAGGTCATAAATTTGAGGATATATGAAGGAAAACCATGTAATAAGTCATAATTTTGAGGATACATGAAGGAAAACCATGTAATCACTTTGGTCAAGTTAAGACAATTCATGGGTTAAACAATTCCTGAAACTGAATTTTTAAAATATATTTAACAAATTTAAAACTCTGTATTTTTCTTACTGATTTTATACTGTAATTTGCAGAAAACTTAAATCTTTCTTTTCTTATGAGATTACAGTTTCAGTAAAATGTTTAAAACGTGACTATTTACTTGTTATCAAACATCACTATTTCAGACAATGAGAAATGCCATTGATATTCGAGTTGTTTTGAGTGTGAAAAAGTATAGAAAAATATTAAATATGTTTGTTATATTTATAAATCATGGCACTGAATTATTATATTTACTTGATGCTGTATAGCAACGTATATACTCGACTTCAAGTTAATAAATTAATTAATGGAGAACTTTAAAATCACGGAATTATCAAATAACCACAAATATGATCATTGTAAGGAAAATGAAGCATTGCAGAGAATGTGCTACAAAAACGATCAACAACAAAGAGAAAGAATAGACTACTGTAAACAAATGTGTGATAAACTAAAATAGTTGTGTAATGTTTTTCGTAAAATCAAAATTATCAGATTTCAAACAATACTGACAACTGATATAGAGATTAAACATTCTCTACAGTGTATTAGAGCTGCTGAGTTGCAAGTGAAATTTATACCTTTATTCTTTAAATACATTAACATTCAAAAATGAAATACTAATGCACAATTACTCTCTCTTCAAAATATCATATTTTATCTGATTTTGAGGGTTAAAAAAAGAGTATTTGTAGTTTGATAGAATTGCAAAAAGAGGATTGAGTTAAATCTAGGCAAGTAGGTCCTCATTTACTTATAAAATTTGTTCTAATAAAAAAACAAACAAACAAAAGTATTGTTACTAATACATTTTAGGTTCAAGTCTTATGATGTAGAACATTTAAGCTGGTAGAGTGTGATCCTTTAGTAGGAAACATGATTTTATGTCATGATAAAAGTGATGATAATTTAATCTACATCATTCTTTAATGGACCAGTATGGGTTCCTAATTAGAAAAGTGCATATCAAATACCCTTTATTTGTAGCTTTTGACATGTCTTCAGTACCAGAGCTCTTCAGGCTAGCTTAGCTACAATGTACAAAGTCATGGATAAGGTTCTTTTTATCTAAGGTAGTCTAAGGTGTAGAATGTCCAAGCTGGGCCAGTAAAGAATTGTTTTAATTATATTATCAGCCTTGTTACGACATGACATCACATGATTGGATCATACTCTGCTAACATGAATAAGTACTCCTAGACTACGATATTATCTTAACTTTTTTTATTTCATTTTGTAAATATTGTGTCTGATTCTTTTGCAGCATCTGAACAACTGGTAGTTCGATGTTTTCCAGTAGCCACACTGACCAAAGAAAAGAGGGTTAACGTGCAGTGTCTTTCTCATGTGGACCAGTTTCTCCAAGAAGGCATACAACTTCGTTCTAATACATTCCAGGTAGGTTTTTTATGTAAAATAAATGCACAACATTAAAAGTATTATTAAAGCATTATTGCTTATTACTGGTTGCTAAGCTTTTTGTTTCTAAACAATGCATATGGTTATTTGTAAAGCAGAATACATGTATGTTTATAAATACTGATCATCATTTACTTATCAGTGGCTAAAAATTTAAAGTAAGACCTCATCTATGTAAAAAATATGAAATTGTAGTTGGTATATGTGACAGTAATGTTATATAGGCCATTGTACAGACCTTAGATTGGCAATAATAGATTAAGTAACTTTGAAAATGAGATTTATTATTGCTACTTTCATAATAAGGTTAATTTGCTTTTTTTTTATTAGTTCCTTTTTGATTTCCTGGAACCTTGTTGTAATATGTATTTGTAACAAAACAATGGAAAAATCTTTCTAAATATTTTGGCCAAAAGTATATTTTATTCCTGTGATCTTTAAGGTTAAACATATTTGCAAGTAATTAAAGTAAGCTAATTATCTGAGTTTGAACTACACTATGTTTTTTGGCTGTTTTGAAAATAACCACAAATGGTTTTATTTATTAAAGTCAAAACAGCAATTATTTTGGAGAAACTAACCATGAAAGTAATTTTGCATTTAATGTTAAACAGTGATGAACCATGCATTGGAATCATATGTGTAATATCCTACAATTTTGTAAATATTACTTCAGATATGAAGCTGTATTCAAATGAAAGTCAAATTTAAACATTTACTTTAATAGTTGGATCAATTCCAGTCCAGCTATTGTAAAATAGGTAGAGAGATATATGTATATGTACTTTATTCTTCTGAAAAAGAATAGTCAACGAATCGAAAATGCTCAAAGTTTTGGGTCTTTTTTTTTGAAATTTATCGCACTTAGGGAGGTCTTTAATTACATGGATGGGAAGCTATAATTGGTATTCTTTTCTGTTGCTGTTGAACTTTACTGCTGATATGGTTATCATGCTTATGAACAACAGTTCTAATGCTTTTAAATGAGCTTAACTGCTGTGACTCAAACAGTTGCTTATGTACATATCAGTAGCTTGTTTTCTTTTCTGTAAGAGGATAGAAAAGTTTTTCTGATTGACCAACATGTATTTTTAAAATTAAATGTTAAGCTTCACATACTTAGACAAATCTTTGTGAAATTTAAAATTGTAGAACCTTGTAAAAAGATATAGCATTTATAATTTATTAGCTAAACTTTAGATTTATTATATGATTCCAAGCAGTATTTATCCTACTGAAAACTGAGCTAAAAGGCAGTTATATAGTCAGTATGTGTACATTATAAAATTAATTTTTGATAGCTAAATAATAATTTTTTTTTTTAATTTCTAAACTTTGGAGGGTTTATTGTTTTTATTTACCTTTTTTTATTTTAGTTAATTAAAGTAGCATTTGATGAGGAAGTGACATCAGAGAGTATTGAAATGTTGAGGAAGCTAATACACCGTGTACATGCACCACCAACGATTTATCATCTTTTTGCATTTAGTAGTAATTTAACCATGCCTCAGACTCCACTTCACAAACAGAAGGAAAAAAATGCAACACTGAAGTAAGTCTTTTAATCTTTCTGAGAAAATAAAATATATGTATTTTTTATTTTAAGTTAATCTATGTACTCTTCAATCCAAAGTATGAAGGAATGTAGTAATAGAGCAGGTGTCCCTAATGATTTAGCCTCTCTCTTGGACTGAATAACTGATGGTGCCATACTGTGGCATGCTTTCAACTCAGATTTGACAGGTGTATGGTGTAGTTTTCCCAATATTGTTTCAAAAGCTAAGACACTTGATAATACCTGGATGGCTCTTTTATAACTATTTAAGATATGGTTTCTGAAAAAAACCGTTCAAAGACATGATTTTTTAGTAAGATGTCAATTATGTGTGTACTTTGGACAAGGTGCATCATCCTGTACAAATAGCATATTGGTTCAGAACATTATCCTATAGAAACAGTACTTTGGTTCAGAGCATTATCCTATAGAAACAGTACATTTGTTTGGAGCATTATCCTATGGAAACAGTACTTTGGTTCAGAACATTATCTTACTGAAACAGCACATTTGTTTGGAGCATTATCTTACTGAAAAACATATTTGTTCAAAGCATTATCATACTAAAACAAAACATTTGTTCAAAGTATTATCTTACCTAAACAACACATTTGTTTGGAGCATTATCTTACTGAAAAACATATTTGTTCAAAGCATTATCACATTAAAACAAAACATTTGTTCAGAACATTATTGTACTGAAACAACACATTGTTGAAAATGTTATCGTACTGAAACAACACATTTGTTCAGAACATTATCTTACTGAAACAACACATTTGTTTGAAGCATTATCTTACTGAAATTGCACACTGGTTCAGAATATTATTCTACTGTAAAAGTTTTGAAACCCTGTGATAAGTTTTGTGTATGAATATAAACATCTTGACAATTTTATGTATCAGTTTTCTATATTTTCAACAGTTTGTTCTTTTTTATCTTGCATAATCAGGTACTTTTAAATATTTTAAGGTCTGATACATACTGTAGCACAACTAATTTATTCATATGATGTATCTTTTTTGTACTCATATTTACAAAGCCATAAAAGAGCATGCTAGCTGGTCATGTCACAAGATTAGGAGTATATGAACACTTGTGGCAAGGCAGTATATATACATACTACTCTGGGTTTTGGTGTTTGCAAGAATGTGTTTTAACTAGAAGTCGATACATCATAGTAATTTATCTTTGATTGCTTTCATTACTTCTTTAATATACTGTTTCAAATATTTACTTGTGTGCAATAAGGAAATAATATATGCATGACTAATGTGAGTTCTGGTAATCTAATCTTAAAGAGTCTTGGCCAAAAAGACCTTGTTAAGGACAGCAATGAAAGCTGGATTCAAGTCAAAACATTCATCCAGAAAACAAAAGTATATAATTCAAGGCCCACCAAGTGTCCACACACTTCCAAGCCCTGGTAGAGGATCGAGTACCAACTTTGATATTGAAACTGGAGAAAGGCCGACTTCTATGTTTGATGATGAGTTATCAAGTACTGTTCTATATTCATTCTTTTTTAGCATAAGTTTTTTTATAAATAAGTTTACTTCCACATTTTAACCTAAGTAAGTGTTGTTGTGGCTGTGTTTTTTGTCATGAATATGTTCTTCATATTAAAATATTTAGGCATTTTCATGTGCAAATTTCAAAGAGAACATTATGCATTTCTCTCTGCTTTGATTTGGTTTTTCAGCTTTTTTTGAATGAAAAGTGAGAAAACTACTATTTTATTATAACTAGCATAACTACCACTACTGATTTTTATCTCATTTCTTATTTATAAGACAAAAAACTAAATAATCTAGTAATTAATAATGATAGAACACATTTTATGTAGCTTATATATCAACAGCCCTTGAAGAAAAATTTGCAAGTCTTATCAAAGAATGGTGTAATTTTCTTAAAACTAAATTCCCAGTAATCTTCAACAAACTTTTACAAAATGATGATGACTTGTAGTATTGAACCTTTATAAACTTTTTAAAGAATGGGATACATTTCTATTAGAACTTGAAAAAATTCATCCAAGAACGTAGGTTTCTGGTAAGCCATCGACAAACTTAGCAGAAAATGATTCAAGTTTCTGGTGAACTTTTATTAAACTTTGCAAAGAATGATACAAATTCCCAGTACATCTCAACAAACTTATTGATGAATGATGCAGGTCACTTGGTCCTTTTCATTGTTATGATATTGCCTTATCATGAGAACAAGTGAAGGAGAGGAAAAGTTAATTTGAAACATCCGTTATAGTATTCATTTGTAAGTGTACTGCATACTTAACTTTTACAATATATATAACATTACTTGTAGGCTACTGACTTCTAAGAGCATATACTGATAGTGAGGTATTTTCAGGTCAAACTGAGTTCTTTTAAAGTGACAAGCTAGGTCCACAGAATAACAGAAGATTCAACCAAGACTGGACATGATTGTTAAAATACAGTGGGCAATCTTTATTCAATCACAAAAATGGTGTGTGCATGCTTGATATGACAATGAATCTAAACTACTTTCTATCCAAGCTGTCTTGGTTGAGATCTTTGTTCTAGACCAATTAAACTTCATGTTACTTAAACAAGTCTTACCCAGAGCCACTAGTGCTACCTGTGTGACTGGTCATTCCCATTAGAAAATAAGTGAAGTTGTAGTTTTGAGTCATCACCTGATCTGTGATTTACAGGCAGACCATGTGTTTCCCCAGGAGAATGACACAGAATAATAGGTAGCTAAAGTGATAGTAATTTAACAACATTTTTGACCATGATTTATGTGAAAAACTGCATATACCCTTAAATAACTGACATATTTTGAAAACCTGTGTTAAAATAATAAGGTAGAAAATGCATGGTATGATTGCATACTACACTAGTAATGTATAAAACTTATATCAGTTCTATTTATTGCATAATGTAGATTGTTGTGTTGTAAGTTAGATCTTGTGTCAATGACTCGTTTGTCTTGAAACTTGCACACCGAGATGTTTATTTGCAGAATTGTGAAGAAAACATCCTTCGTTATAAAATATCACTGCTTTTTGGTGTTATATTTAGGTCCAAGGTATTTATTAAATAGAAAAATGAAAAATTTTAAACATTTTATGATTTTCCTCTAATGGTATAGAGGCATTTGTGATATTGGGGAGGTGGGGGCAGTTTACTTCTACCCTTAATATAAATGTTAAAAAAATGATAGGCTTAGTTATCTTATTCCATTGTTTCTAAGAGTTAATGGTAGTTTAGCATTTTAGGCATAGATATGATTTTATTTGCACTGTCACCAAACAATGAGTGGGGTTTATTTGTTCCATTTCAGCAGGGGTCAAAAGTTTGTTTGTATTAACTTGAGAGTTGACCATATTCTTGGTACTTTCCAATAAATGATGTGAGATGTACTATATGTAAATAAGAATCCCAATTCTGACCAATAAAAAAATTTGAAAAAAAGGCATGGGTTCAAAATCAAAATAAGGGGGTGGGAGGCAAGTAGTGTGAACAAGTGTTATTTCATTATCATCGTTTCATATTTGTTGGATATCGTTTTCTGTGTATATATTACTCAAAACCACTGGAATTTATTCACCCTGAGATGTGAAGAAAACTAATTTTCATGACTGTGTAAGTGAGTATTTATGGGGAAGATGTCCCCTGGTGGGTTAGCAGTAAGTTTATGGATTTACAATGCCAAAATTTGGAGTTTGATTCCCTCTCGGTGGACACAACGGATAGCCTGATAGGGTTTTGCTATAAAATACACACACACAAACATTTCTCAATAAGATATATTGACCCTTTTATAAATGTTTCTGTACCTTCTAAAAACTTCAAGAGGTGTTTTGGATCCTCTTTTTTTTTGTAAATGTAATAAATATTATGTTTTCTTAATGAAACCTCCATTGAACATATTTGTGTAGGGATGCACATTATGCTAGGGGAGATTTGCATGTATAAAACACAACCATTATGTAGTATGGTATGTATTAAAAATTTTTCATCATGTTTACAAATCATTGTGTCTTATACATGCAAGTCCGTAGACATACATTTATGCTTTCATGTAAAATATATGCTACTTGTGTACGTAAAATTTACACTACTTGTGTACAACTCATAAACTGTAGTAGATTTTTCTAACATGTTTCAGCACTTTTTTTTACAAATAAATAATTTTATATCAAAAGATTTTTTTAACATAAAAAAAGGACTTCTATTGTGTATGCACACATTTTTTTCTGTCTCTTCAACAATATTTGACGTTTGTGTCTTGATAAATTAACATGACAATTGTGATCTCAATAAAAATGTCTAAAGAATGCTTCTCTACATTGGCCTTCTAAAGTGTTAGTCATGCAAATGTTATATTCGTTTTTTAAGGAAGTCTTACTAGTATATTTTTCCCTCCTCTGAAGTTAAAGGTATTTTGCTTGTAAGATTATAAAGAGGTTTCAGTGGTTTACATCAGTATTTGGTTTTGTAGAATGTAATATATCTCATTGTGTAAAGCATACAAAATTGTAGAACTTGTTAAGTCAACAACACTATATGTGTACAAGCTATAATACATGTTACGGTGATAAAAAGTTTGGGCCAGGCTTAAAAAATTGTTTGCTGTTGGTAACCCACCCCTCTTTGGGTGTGTGTACATATTTAAGCCATTTTTTTAAATAATCATGTATCATGAAAGTAAAAATATTGATTTAATTTGAAACTTAAATCGTTTCTGAAGTAAGCTATTTTCTGCTATATCACCAACGTTTTTAATAAAAAACAAACCTCTTTAATGAATGCAGACCATAAATTAAGAAATATTATTCCAGTTTTGGTGTCTATGTTAAAAAGTCATTGTTGGTATGTAGTGATCCCAAAATGCACTGGCTTTTTATATATTAGAAATTGTTAATCTACTGATTTTTACCAATAATTATTCTATGAACACACCATGAATTCATTTTGTGAATGATCTTTATTTGATTGGTTCAAAAAGGAATTTGTAGGTGTTCGGCTGCCTTGACTGCACTTTTCTGCCTCTTTGTTGGTCAAGCTTGATTTTGTAAAATTTATTTATTTCAGTTAGCTATGAGATGTGAGGTTAGGGTATACTATGGGGTGTGGGTGGTAGTACTTGCCCTGTCATTTTTGATGGGCTACATGCTAGTAGTATATATATATATATATATATATATATATTGTGTAGTTGTGGGTTTGTGTAGTTAGGTCCATTTTTTTTAAGATAATCATTACTGTTGATGCTACTATGGTATAAGTATGTGTTTTTGTGTGTGTGTGTGTGTGTGTGTATATATTGTGTAGTTGTCGATATTGTAGTATGTACTGTATACATATGTGTTATATATTTTTTTTATTTATACTGATTACTACTATTTTCACCTTTCTCAAGTATCTGTACTCTTTCTGGTTTTCAATTTACCCTTGCTTTGTGCTTAATAGTTGGCTTAGCAACATGTTAGCATATTATGAAGCCAACTATTTTCTTTTTTTTGGGCAAGTGGCACCATAATTTTCACATTTTTCTTTAACTACAGGTACAAACAATATTTAATACCAGCTGTCAAACTTTTACCTCATTGCTGGGTTGAAAAATCAATAAATCTTTGTGGGAAAATCATGCTCGCTTGTCTTTGATTTTCTTGGTTTGTTGCCTGGTATCAACTCTTAGCCTATGAATTATTGCTTTATACCAATAGAAATCCAAGATTCTGAGAAATACATCTATAGCTTTTACTTCAATGTACAGCAGATGCATACTTGTCAACTCTCATGATTTGGGCGGGAGTTTCCCAAATTTTGACCTTTGACCCAATTGGGTTTTAAAAATTGATCATTTTTACCAATTTTTTCTGGAAACCTACCAATTTGCATAACTATAATTAACTTTTTCATACATTAAAAATGTTTCAGTAAACGTCAGCCAGTCGTCGTTTTTTTTCATGTCTCCTCACAGCTCTCCTTATTTCTTGTGGTATCGTCACTAGCAAAAATAATATTGTCAGTATCACTTTTCACCCACTTAAGCCATAGAACCCTTAAAGTCAAGCACTATTTCATGCAGTGGGGTGAAGAGAATATTTCTCAATGAGGCAAGACTCAGCCTCTTATTTTATAAACAAAATATGAGCAAGCCTTATAAAATCCTTACCAAATCTCAACTTCATCTTAACCAAGCATAATTGTTCACGTGCTTGTAAATTGCTTTATTTGCTGAGAGTCGTGCAAAATCTTCCCCATGCGAATTTTGAAAAGTTGGCAAGTATGAGATGCTGTAGTATTATATTTTTGTGGACTTGATTTCTTTTTGGTTATGCAGAGTCTGTGAAGCACAAAGACCCTTGAAAAAACATAATCTGAAATGTTGAGTTAAATTAAAACATTTATTTCTTGAGTTGTTTCTCATCTTTTTTAGATATAGTTCTAATCCTTCAGTCAGCACTAAAAAGTCTGGAAAATGATAAAAAACAATGTTTTTCAAAGAATAAGGTTGGAGCATAGTTGGAAGTAGGAAATGAATTTTTTTCTGTAATTGAAGTAGAACTCTAAAATATTGTTGGTAGTTTTAGAATAGTATATTATACAAACTGCTACATTTTTTGTGTGTTTTCTGAGTTACATTTTTCAAGCTGTAGTAATTATTTTTCTGAATCTGATGTATTGAGGAGAACTCAGGGTTAAGCCTAGGGAGAGCTACTAATACTTTATTTTATGTATATTATCAAATTTAGTGGTATATATTTCTTTATAAACTTTTTGATATTTATTTAGAATATTCTTAATTGATAAACCTAATTATGACACCATTTTTCAGTCAGGTAAAATTCAGGCTCTGATTTTACAAACCTAATCAGACACCATTTCTCAGTCAGGTAAGATTTAGGCTCTGATTTAACAAACCTTATCATGATAATATTTCTCAATGAGGCAAGACTCAGCTTCTTATTTTATATACAAAATATGAGCAAGCTTTACCAAATCTCAACTTCATCTGTAAGTATTTACAAAAAGAGAATGAAATATGAAAACTTTTAGGCATTTTTTATTCTCAGCCTAAAAATCTTTCAGTTTTTTAAACTCATACAAAGTTTCTGAAATTCATGATCAAACTTTTAGGAGAAATATTGCATAAAAGGTCTGATTTTTCATTTATATACTTAAAGCACACAGAATTTTGTGAACTTAAACTTAGTACATTGTGATTTATAATATTTATTATTTCAACTTGTAGTTTTGGGTCCACTGGTCATCAGAAGCAGATTTTGTGACACTTTGTCCCCATTACTTCTTTTTGTCCTCAACATATTTTATGCTATTTATTTCCATAAAACAAAGTAAAAAAACGTCCTTTTTTTTTGGCAGCCTCTCCAAATATTTTTAAATTGTGGCATATTTAGTAGGTTGGTCACTAACAGCAAACAAACATTTATTTTAGGTTTGGCCATGTCTAAGGAAGTATGATCTGCTTAATGAATTTTCTTTTGTCAAACTATGAGTTGTATATATGCATCTATAATTTCTCACAAAGTAATTAATAAAGTGAACTAAATTGTAGGTACTTACTGGCTGGTTGATGTTCCTGGCTCTCACTCACTTCAACTTGTAGAATCAGAAGGGAAATTTCATATTTCGTAGAATATATACTTTGTGATAAACAAAGTTTTGTATGCCATATTTAGTTTTTGATACTCTCAACATTTTGTTTGTTTGTCATTTTAAACTAACAAAAACTTGATATGAATCTTTTGGATCCAGCTGGCAGTAACAGGGTTAAAACTTTATATATATATTTGTTTTAATTGATGCATATATTTTAGAATTATTATTAACCAATTCAGGTCATCAAGTACAGTATTACTTTCTATTTTGGAGTTATGGTTTGTTTGTTTATTGAATTTTGTGCAAAGCTACTTGAGGGCTAACTGCACTATGTGATAGTTGTATCTTAGCCTTAAGATAATGTGTCAACTCACGATGTTACAGTAAGATATTTAGTAGTTGAACTCTGTTAAAATCTCTGGTATGTTTGACAAGTTTCAGAGTGGTGTTTGTCTGCTAAACTTGTATCGTTCAGGTAGTTTGTCAAAGTGTAGAATGATTTATTTGTAATAATCTGGTTACCATATGTTTGATAGTTTGTGATTAAATATACTTTCAAAGGCATAATTTTTAGTTTTAAATTTTTCCAAAGTATTTTCAAGTGTGAACTACCTCAGTTAATTTGTTACAGTTATAAGATGCTAATTTATTAAGTATGATAGTTTTAAGTTATTGAGTGTCTCCATTTTATTTTTAGTGTGAATACTGTTCTTATTGACCTGTAGTTTTTGAAAATTATATTTTTTTATTGTTAAATTTTTAATCAATTCTAGTGCTTGATGAGGTGGACTCGATTGGTAGCAGCCCACAAGGACCTCCTTTTTCACCACATGTGGACTCCAAAACTCTAGAAAAGATCACTGAACGTAGCTATTGTAAAGATTATCAGAGGCTTGGTTTGGGAACTGTTAGCAGTTCCACTATTAGGAGTAAGAATGAAGCC